TGATTTAAAAACTTTTATTGAAGCCAAAAACTTGAGATTTTGACATGGAAAAAAATTCAATATAAAATGTAACAATTGCCGTGAATGTGCGGCCACCATTTGTTCATTTTTTATATATTTATGTTTCTACAATCAATTATATCCACTTATCTTGTATTGACGTAGATTTTTACTTATAGAAAGTTTTTAATTTCAGTCAAATCAAATCAAAAGGTCGTGTGATTTGTAAAAAGTACTAGGTAAATCATTAATTACTACATAATATAATGTAGCTTAAGTGTAAATAAAATATGTTATTTAATTTTAACCACCAATAATTCATCAAATAACTATGTGAATTCGTTTTATGCATATTAATATTAAATTTAAGTTTATATACCAACATTTTTTACGGTAATATGGCCAATATGTAATACGGTTTCAAAACTTCTAGACTATATAATAGTATAATGAATAGGTCAATGAAATAATATATTAATATGTTGACATTTTATAAGTATACATTAATTATATTATTGACAATTAATTTAAAAATAATATATTGTATTTAGTAATTAGTATATACACTATTTTATACTTTTAAAATTTGATTTCACTGTTAGAGTAGACACATCATTTAATGTTGATTACATTTAAAAAATATTGTTCACACACATTTCATATATTAATATTTATTATTTTTTTTTTTAGCAATTATCAAATCATATCATATACAATGAATTAAAATAGATTTCTAATATATTTTTTTTTACGTAGTAGCATTGAGTATATATACTCAATGGTAGTAGTCATCTGAGTGTCGAATAAACTGAATGTAAATAGTTAAAAAATTAAAATGTTTTATTCACTGCCCGGGAGATTTTAAAAATGAAAATAATACTAACAGGTTATTTATTTAACTTAATTTTATTAATCTGGAGTTTAATATCATTACATTTGTTTTGCTTACTGCGATATTATTAAATTTTAGAAATGTAATAATATGTAAAAGTTACAAATAAATTATTTTCTTTCATAAAATTATAGAAAATCTATAAATTTGATGTATTCATATAAAAATATATTTCGATTTTCTAAAAAATAATTACATGTTACCGTGTTGATAGTGTATGAATACGATTCTTGTTATAAATTTTATAAAAAATACATATATCAAGGATTTGGAATATTTTCACTGAATAACATTTTGAATAGAATTTTACAAAAAAAAGTGCATAAATGCATTATATATTATCATGTGATTGTGCACCTACTACTTATCACTTTAAAATTATTTTTCAAATATATTTACTTAGGAAATTCAATTTTTTTTCTTTCGAAATCCATGATTTTACTGAGTTAGTAGTACACATTCGCATTAACAATTGAAGAGTGTTTAATTGCTATGTACTCTGTATGTTTTTTTGCTCATTGTATAGCATAATAAATATGTATATAAAAATAATATATAACATACTTGTTAATTTTTTAAGTTTTTTTTTTTTTTAATGCAATATTATTATATAGTTGAGTTATCTAAAAAATAAAAACTATACATCATCATCTATACAGATGAAATTTTGTTTATGACATAAACTTGGTCGTTAAATTCATTATATTATTATGAGTATGTACCTTAATATTGCGTTGTTGAAGGTTCTCGTAAAACTTTTTTCATTTATAAATTCGTATCCATTAGGTAAACCAATTAGAGCTCGGGTTTGACACGGGTAACTTTTTAAACTTTTCTTTTAAAATATATATTAAAACAGGTTTTGATCACACAATTTTCGTATTACTGAAGAATTCTATAAAATATTCTAAATAAATCCCGGACGTTTACAACGCCCTCTTAAAATATGATTAATACTTAAATAAGATCCAAGAATAATATGCATACTATTTTTATATTGTTTAGATTTGTGTATATTGCAGTTAAAGTATTAAATTTCGTTATTTTATGAAATAACTAGGTAGTTTTTAAATTACCTACAAATGTCAATTAGAGTATTTAATGGTATATGAAAAAACTATTTAATATTTATTATATTTTAACTGACTATTCTATACAATGTTCGTTTGATTTCTGTTAAAGTATATAATACCCGTACATTTAAATTTAAAATTCATCAAAATATTTAGTTTATTTTAAACAGAATAATTATAATTGTATAAATTATTTGTCCATATTATAAGCTAATGTGGCATTTATTATTGCATAATACTTCTTTTTTTCTACAAACAAGCTTATTTGTATCAAATTTTTTGGTATAAGTGTACTTAAAAAAACCCTAACCAGTTCCCAGTGATCAAAAATTTTCCAAAGATCTTATACCTTCATTTGGAACATGCTGTAAACTGGAATTGAGAGTATAGTTATTTTCCCATGTATTTATAATGATAAAGTAGAGATAAATGAACGAACAGTGAACACGCGTAACTGTAAAGTTATTACTAAACTTTAACTTCAATAATTTTATTGAAAATCTTAATAATAAAACTATAAACGTACAGAATTCGCATTCGTGTACAGCGACAATCTTAAAATAATTCGATAAACATACATAAACATTGCCATCGCAGACAATAAGGACGTCAGTGTTATCTGATTTATTATTATGTTGAACTGTAAAATAACATTATAAATTTAACAATTTAACACATTAACGGTTTGAGTAACGGAGATGTATGAAATAACTAGTTCAAGTGTAAATTATATACATCATCTACACATTTTAGTTATTTTATAAACTTGCAGATTCAACACTTAAACTGTAACATATACATTGAAAATATCGTTTATCACGCATTATTTTAGTAGAGAAAAACGAAATTTGTGTAAACTTAAATACATTGAAATATGTTGGAGTATTAAAGTACATTTTGTAGACAACATACTACGATTATAAATTACAAAACAGACATCCGACAAAAAATTAGAACCTCGAGAGTCGTGTCGTCAATAACTTAAGTACAACTACGTGAGTACAAGAACCATAATCATAGGAAAACTATGTATTTTCAATATTAGACACGTTAAATCGTATACGATTGTCAACATTTTTAAAATTAATTTGATGCGTCTATCATTGAAACAGTTTAAGCGTCAAATCAATATACCTAAGTCGTATATTATTTAACATTGTTTGCATAACTACGGTCTACGAGTATATATGAGTAAACGTTTTTGTCGAACAAACAACATGTTTATTTTCAAAATATTTTTTTTTGTTAGGTACAGTGATTTTAAACCGTAATTACGTGTATACGTAAGTACATTTTAAAGTTATTAGTAACAATGTGTGTTTACATAATATGAGAAAAATTTACTAAAATAAATATTCTGATCGCTATTTTATACACCTTAATAATGCATTTTTATTTCATTAAAACTGTAAGTTCTGATTTTTTCAATAAGTATGCTGTAATATTTTTTAATAATTAGATTTTTTTTACCTTTAAAACTATTATTAAACATTTTATGTTCATAAAGTTTAACAAATCAGAAGCTACTTATTCGAATTTGATTTCGATGTGTCGAAAAATTTTAAAACATAAAAAATCACGCCAAGACTTGTAGAAATTTTGAAACTTTATCGAATGTAATAAAAATCATAAACGAGTCTATATTATAAAATACAAATATGTTTTAATATTTACTGATAATAATTAAAAAAAGACGGTATTATAAATTCACTATATTATTTTATACGTATAATATTAAAAATGAAATGCTATATTTAATAATAATAATTTAAATTATCTATATTACTTAAAAAAAAATTTAAAAAAAAATAATATAATTTTAATTTTAATTTACTAATTAAAAATATGGTAATTTATTGAAGCTCAAGTAGGTATGAAGTTTGACAGTGGAAAAAGTTTTGTTTGTACATTTATTTAGATTTAATTTGTTTTAAATATGTACATAATATATTAATTTTAATTCTATGTGGCAAATATTCGTTTAAGGAAAATCAATTTCATCAATTAATTTATATTAAAGTATTAATTTGGTTTCCATTTTAATAGGTATAGGCATATAAAGAATATTATACGTTTATATATTTTAAACAATGGTGTTTTATTTATCATTGTTAACTTAACTGAAATAGATAACAATATGATAAAAATATGCATGTTTCTTCAAAAAAAAGTTATTATGCTCATATCAGTTATTTTTATATTTTTATAATGCTAAATATTACGAGCTTATCATAATTACATTTTTGGAGCATATAACCACGTCATGAATTTTGTCAGTGCTACAAGTCATTTCACGTCCTACTTATAAGTATCGCTATTGGACTTTCTACGTTATCATCTTAAAGATTCGAATGTCTTGTGAGATAGACTCGCTGACTCAACATTTCTGTCACAGATCGTTAATTTTAAGGTCTTTTCTTGCTGAACTAGGTTCTCTATACGGTTACTACAGTCTCTTCAGCACCATCGTCAAAACTCAAAACTACATTCGAGTAGTTTATTCAACTCGCTTTTGTTCGTATAGCTAACGGATTTCCTGTTTTTCGGAATTGGCACGGAATTACTAATCTCGAATTAAGTATCTTAGAGACAGCGCGTGTGAGGGGGAAAACGCTTTATCTTTGGTGTAGAATTTTGTAAACGTCTCAGCCGTCAGTGACTATAATATAGTTATTGACGTACCTATTCAAATTATTTAATCGTTCTGGAATGAATTATTTCACGTTTTTTAATCGGTAAATCCGATCTATTCGATTATTATCGATTGAGGAAATCAAAATATGTATTTAAAGGGTTGATAATAAAAATAACTCGTAAACTTTGACCGACCTAACGATCGACTTAAAACATGTGCTCGCCGATAAATCGATGAATAAAATTTCCAAAAATCAAATCAATATAATAATAGATAAGTACACGATAGTGATTTTCTAAATTATTTAGATCCATTTATGTACGAGTGTGTGAAAAACGTAGGAAGTTCAGTCACTATTATAACTTTCAGAGATACTTTTAAATCATCGATAAGATAATACCTGTAGCCCTCGGTGTGCGAGTGTCCGGCGGAACTCCTGGACGGTTCCGGTAGTGCGTGTTGTCGGGCGGCTGCGGCAGCGGCCTGCTGACAGTCGCAATGCATGACGCACAGCACGATGGACGTGACCACACACACGGCGAACGGGACGGCAAAGTAGTGGACGATGTCGGCGTACTGTTGTCGCTTGTCGTAGCCCACCACGGCCAGCGTGAGGTTCTGCCGGGAATAGTGACACGGGAACGTGGCGCCCAGCTCGCCGTAGGCCTTGGTGAAGTTGGAACAGGCCACGGCTGGCGGGTAACCGCAGCCCTTGATGTTGACCAGCAGCACAGCCTCGGTCATGATCACGTCGCCTCCGCGACCGGACGCCACTTGCATGCCACCGCCACCGCCATCGGCGCCACTGACTCCACCGGCGGACGTCCTGTACGCCACGTAAATGTGACTGCAGTTGTACACGTCGCTGGTGCAACCCTCCCGGCATGAGCTCCACGTGCAGTTGTACAAGCCGGCCAGCTGTTCGCGGCGCACCGTGGTGCACAGCACCGGTTCCGGCACGAAGTCGGCCAGCAGCGTTGACACGGCCGGGTCCACGTACAGCGGCACAAGGAACAGCAGCGCCGAGCCCGAACCGACGGCGATCATGGCGAACGACAGTGTCGAGTAGAACCACACCTTCTCGCGAAGGGTCCGGGGCGCGCCACGCTTCTGCTTCTTGGCCGCCGCTAATTCCAGCAGCTTCTTCTTGCGGAGCTGCTGCTGCTTGGTGTCCAGCAACAGTTCGGAGCTGGCGGACCGCATCGCGTCGCATGGTGCGCCGATCTACGGCCGGCCTTGGGGCGCCGCGTCACGTGCGGTTCGCCCGCCGCAACACCGCCGCCGCCGATTCCGCCGCCGCCAGCCTACCACCACCACCACCACCACCACCACCACACACAACGCGCCGCCGACGCCGTTATCGCCCTTCCTTCCACTTTACGACGAAAACCGGCCCGGCGGCCGTGGACGCCGCCCGCCGTGGCCGCCGGTGGCCGGTTCCTTGTGTCGTCTCGAAACGTGCGTCGCCCGATTTTCGGGATGCGTTTGGTCGGTGGACGGGTGGACGGACGAGCGTGCGGGCGCGAAGTTGCCGCGCGGACGGGCACTGGCAGACACCGACGGCGGACGGACGGGCGCGACGAGACCGACACGGACGAACGGTTTTTTATTTCGTTTCAGCGTCGGCGTGGTGCGTGGCGTGTTCCCGTACCGCCGTTAGCCGACACACTGACTGACGAGTCGCGCGCGGCGCGTTACGTGCTTTTGACGGCGCGCCGCGCGTCGCCCGGCGTAAAGCGCTCCGTCTGCTGCTCGCCGGGGCGTTCGCAACACGCACGCCCCGTCGACGGGCCGCTCCGACCGACCGCCCGTCACTCGCACCTCCGCCACACCGCCATAGCACCGCCGCTATATCGCTATATCGCGTAGCACGTCTCCCGAATTTCTACCAACACAATAGCGGCGGACGCACGTGCGTGACCAGAAACCGTGTATATCGCCTACTGCACCGAACTATAAATGTTATAATATATTTTATTATACATTACGTACCGCCACAACCCTTTGCACTGTGTTATTATGTCGTATTGTCCGACCGTCGCTGCAGTTGGTTCGCCCGCGCACGTTATCGCCGCGTTTGCCGTATAATAATTATTATAATCGTCGTCGGTCTGGACGTCGTATATCGGGTCGAATAATATCGTTGTATACGGTCTAACAGTGTACTTGTTTATTTTATTCGTCGACGGAACGACACGTCCCCACGTCTCCGCGGCCAAAATATTCTGTACGGTGTCGCGTAAGCTGGTGACGACGTAACTTGACCTAACGACGAGTTAGTCCCCTGCAGACTTTTGACGACATAGACGGCAACGTAATATCGAACGCTCCGTAATTGTTACGATCGACATCCATTTATATTCATTTGATATCGTTTTTTTTCCGGGTCTGAGCAACAAGCGGCGCGCGACGATAGCGAACGTTTGGCTTGGGTACGCGTTTGCGGTCTGCTCATCTGTAGTCACGTCCAAGCCTTGCGGACCAGCGCGACGCGAACGTGCGCCGCGTTTTGACTATTTTCAATATGTTCAGCCCCGGCACGAGACGCGCGTCGTAAATAGCGTTTGAAATCTTTTATATCTTTATTGCGTATGCGTGTACGCGCGTATAGGTATGGCACACGTTATTTTACGTGCGTTAGGTACCGAGGTTGTTCGAGTCGATTGACGGTCGGTTCAAATAATCGAGTTGGGATGTAATTTCGTTCTATATAGATCCATATTCGTCAGACTTTCGTCCAGTCCTACATTTGATTTCCGATACTTACTTTCGTCTTTTCGATATTGCACAAAATGTTAAGTCTCTGTAGTATACTATATCTAGATACTGTTATTACTTACAACACATGCAAATGCATAAATTATGCGCATTTATTATATAATATGGCCGAATAAACGCGATGGGAGTGGATCAAATAGTCAGCTTTTCTAATTTAAATATTTTTTTTTTTTTTTTTTTTAGTGTCATTGTAAACCATATATTTTTTCATTCTAGATTTTTAGCTATAATTTTAATCATTTAGCATAACTGATTACTGATTATTTTTTTTTTTTATTGAACTTAATCCCGGAAACTAGGGCCATTAGCTGTTTGTAGGGGTTATGAACTATGGTAAGGGTAAGGTTGGTATGGTAGGTTGTATTTTACGATTTTTACGGTTGATAGCAAACACGTGTATGTGTGGCAAGGTTTTTAACCACTATGATCCCGAGTGGTCACCCATCCAGGAGCTAGTAGCTGTGGCCGTTACTTACTCTCAGTCGCATTCCGCGACTGGTAGCAGCCAACGCGCCACGCCAAGCTACGATTACTGATTAATAATGTATTTTTTTTATTGTGAAGATTTAAAACATATTTAAAAAAGAATAATTGGACCCAAATTCACTGATTTGAACTTTAATTATTTAGCAAAAATTTAAGGACAGAATAACATATTGGACCTAAATTACTTAGACAACATTCGATAATACTTAATTGTGTTTGAATAACTGACGTTTTGATTATAGTCACTAGTGCATTGCTGTGCATTCGTTAAGAAACACTATATAACGACGAAGTGAAGTCCTACATTTTCATATAAAAATGCAGTTGCAAATGCAAATTTTTAGCATTTTTAATAAATTAATATAATGTTCTTAAGAATAATCAAACACTTTTAGAACAATTTGTACGTCGAGATATTCAAGTATGAAAAATAGTATAAAAATGTGTTGTGTTAGGAAATTTAACAGATTTTTAATATATACCCAACTTCACGTTGAGTAGATATAAAGGTATATTTCAATATTCCTTTACATAGTCACTTAAATTGATAAAAACTCGACTTGTCTTATTAACAAACGTGGATAGTGAAAAAATGAATTATATGTTTAGGCTAGGCTTAGTTCACTCTTAAATTGCATTGCATAGAGGATCATTATTTATTGTTGTACTTGAGTTCCTGCAAATATTTACAAATTGACCGAGTTCAAATTCGCATATCATAATAATAATAAAAAAAGAATCAATACGATTGAAAATACTCACATTTTTAACAAACAATAATGTTAATCATAATTTTTAGTTTTTACTTAAATAGCAACATATTTAAATGGTATCTTAAATTAAAAAAAAAAAAAACAGTTATGAATAATGTATAATATGTATATACATAATTGTTTACCTCGCAGTAAAATATAATTTTATACTGTACAAGAATGTATTTTATAAATAGTAGGTATGCAGTTATTAATTATTATTACTCGTAGAGGGGACCAGCCGATAAAAATATACATACACATACAACACTCTTATAACATTATGTTTTTATCTGTGAATTATTTTCATTTTATAAAATGTGAATATCTCTATATATATTTTCATATACATTATCATATATAATTATTGTATCGAGTCTTAACTACCTAAACATATCATATTATTGTATTTTCGTGGTCGCCAGTCACTGCATTGTTTTATTTTATTATATTTTTGGGCTCTATGCGCTAAATTATTTAAGATTCAAAATTATAATTATTCATGTATGCCCTAAATTCTCCGCGTATTTTAAGAATTATGTTTTTTAGGCATACGTAAATTTGGATTACCATTACATTACAATTGCAATATCCGTGTGTGCTTATAGCCGCTAAAATTTCTATTCCATCTTATAGAGTTGCATTGTATTTTATTATTTATGAGTTATGTCTTATTTTTTTAGTTCATATAGCCATTGAAATATGTTATTATTATTATACTTATTGTAAGCGCCAAATTTTTTTAAATTTATTTATTTATCATTAATCATTATTTTGTGTTATTATATGAGTTTTATTATATTATTATATTTTTTATCAAACTGGCTTTTATAGCAGTTATTGTAAAATACAATTATATTAGATTCAGATAGTGTTTAGTCAATAATAAACACCAAAAAATTGTGAGTTAATTTTTTATTATTCATTTTTAAATTTTATATTGTATTTAATTGTACCAAGTTGGCTGTTATGTATTATAATAAATTATTATTTTTTGAGTCAGAAAGATCACATTGTTGTCATACTATATCACATTAGTTACCATACACATCGATGTTGTTACTATTTTTATAATATAAAATAAAAATAATATGTACACACGAGTATATATACATACAAACACACTCACCTAGTCAAATCATGTGTAGCACATTAATATTAGCCTGGTGATCCCCATCACTGCTGATAGAGTTACTCACACCGTGCATGTTTGCAAATTTAAATCAGTTAATCAGTCTATTATTTTACGTGAAAAAGTTAATTATATAGACCTAACGGTTTACTTAACCTAACCGAGTAGTACAGATAAGAATTATTCGTTCTCGATCAGTAAATTATATTATGATGAAGGTATGTTTCTCCCCCCCCCCCCCCCTAAAACATTAAAAAAATTATTTTTTTTAAATATTAAGTATGAAATTTGTATGAATTTGTACGATGAAAATCAGAATTTGTACGAATTTATTTTCAAAATAATAACAAATAATTTAAGTGGTGGGAAGGGAGGGAAGTGTGTAGAAATGTTCCTACAGCCCTTCCTTAAAAAAACTAACTTTTCCAAAATTTCCTCGAATGAATATTTAATATAGAATTTGTAAGAATTTTTAAGAATTTGTACGACAAATCCCAAAATTCATGGAAAATCCCTTCAAGGCAAAACACGTGTTATCGAAATTTGGAATTTCCTCAGCCTTCCCAAATACCAAACATCTTTTTTCCAAAATTTTCTGGAATAAATATTTAAAGGAATTGGTACGTTAACCAAAAAAACAAATTTTGAAAAATGCTTTCTCAATTAAAACCGTGATTTTGTAATTTTTGAATTTCCTCATGCTACCAAAAACCTAAGATTATTTTTTTCCGAAATTTTTTCGAACGTATGTATTTAATAGGGAATTAATATAACCAATTGCAAAATTTTTGACAAATCCCTTCCTAGTAAAAAAACATATTTTCATAAATAAGATTTTCCCAAAAACCAATTGTCTATTTTATCGTATGTATATTAAGTATGGTATTTTAAAGAATGTGTACGGCTAATCGCAAAATTTTGGAAATCCCTTCTAGGTAAAAAACGTGTTTTGGAAAATTGAAATTTCCTAACACTACCCAAAAACTAAAAATAATTCTTTCAAAATTTTCTGGAATAAATTTTTACGACAAATCGCAAAATTTTCGAAAAATCCGTTTTCGGCAAAAAACGTGTTTTGGTAATTTTTGAATACCCTCACCTCTCCCAAAAACCAAAAACAAATTTTCCCAAAGTTTTCTTGAACG